CATATCTCTAACAGTTCCACCAAGTCATCAACCTGTAATGATGTCCGGTCCGATAAGGTAGAATCCGTACGAAGTTTTTCCTTGATGATACACAGGGCCTCTTCCACTGGTACGATTACTAGACGATGGATAATATCCAAGTAAATTTTTATTCAATTGTCAAGAGATCATCATCAGTGGCATCTGGGAAATCAATTAATTTAACCAAATGGTTTAAACTGGATTTAGAAAATAAATAATGAATAGGGTATTTAACAAAAGTATTTCAAGTGACACTACACTAGATGTTGTTATTCACAGGAGTTGAACTATGCACTTAACTATTGATCGGATGGTCTGGTGGCCGTAGCTAAATCCAGTTTAAACCATTTGATTAAATGAATTAATTTCTCTGATGCCACTGATGATGACCTCTTGAGGTTGAAACGCGTATGGCAATAGTGTCTTTTTTATATTGTTAATAGTTGTTTGTTTACTTATTTTATATTCTAATACACTACACGGTATGCAAAGTTTTAAGTGTACAGTGGTATGTTAACATGATGTTCAGTCAGCTGGATTTCATGTAAGCAGTGATGGTTGAGGGAAAAGGGCTATATGCAACATTTGTGAGAGCAAAGACTAAATTCAATTACTAAATACTGAGATACAGAAATCTCAATGTCATATTTCTGCTCATACTACAAATCTTACAGTAAGTAATTTTTTTTTATTTAGTGTTCTGTCTGACGACAGGTCCATATGAACAGGATCCTTCGATCCTTTTCTCGGACTGGGACCAGTTCATATACGTTCTTGGCAATGATCCAGAAGTGGTTTGCCATTGCCTTCTTCTGTGTGTGAATGGAGTAATTGTTGGGATGCCACGGAGAAACCAGGGAAGCCCCCCGGAGGAAAACTCCGTGTTGCCTAGACCACGGCCTTGCCCAACACAAGTTATAAATTCTGGCACCGCCGGGAATCGAACCCGAGACCCCAGGATTACAAGGCCAGCGTTCTGACCGCTAGACCACCGTCGGTCTACAGTAAGTAATAAGGGTTTATAATGGTACCAATTAATAGTAGGGTTATATACCTGGCATTTTATACCAGCCTGTGAGCAAGAACATGTGTCAGGATCACAGTAACCTTTACAACCACAGCCACAGAACTCTCGTGAAGATCGGATATCTCTGCATTCATCTTTCTCAAGAGAGTCTATTTTCCTCACACCAGCAGCACGTAACAGAGCCCGTCGTTGCCGAGTCGGAACAGGCTATAAGAAAGAACCATTACTGCTTTTAACTCTATAAACAAATAAAAAACATTCTAAAACAATGTTGCTCTGATAGCAGTTAACGTGTTAAGTGAGTCATGTTTGTTCCACAGTGTGGAACACAATTATGCACTAATTTCCAAGCACGTAAGCTGCATATTACTGTAACCTACAAGCTATGGAAAGAATAAATAACTTAGACAACTTATTATATAGGAGAAGAAATAGACCAGTTATCAGATATCCTCAGTGTAACAAAGGGTGAGACACTGTGGGAACCAGGGCTGTGGAGTTGGTACTAAAACCTCTGACTCCAACTCCTTCATATAAGCTCAATATGTATTAATAATGGTAAACCTACTAAAATGGTAAATGGTATCACAAGATAATTCATCACCACCACGTGAATCATCAGCCTACTTTTTAGACTTATCGTTTGATTTGTAGGCAGTTTGTATTCTTAAGGTACCAGAGCCAAAGTTACAAAGCATTATTCCCACACCATGTGGCTCACGAGTCATTGGATCTCCCTAAGCGTGATGCCGCCGGCAGCTCACACGGTAGCGAAAGTGTTCTTCTTCTTCTTATAGCGTTATAACCCTGTGTGGGTCTTAGCTTGTTCGATGAATTTTTTCCATTCTGTCCTATCATTCACAATTCTTCTCCATCCCCTTACTCCCATCGTCCTCACATCCTCCTCCACGTCGTCTATCCATCGTTTCCGTGGTCTCCCTC